CACGTCGATCTTATAGTTTCTGACTGAGATTTCTGATTTCATTCTTGGGCTTTTTCCTAAGGAGGGTTACATGTAATAGTGATGAAACGTTCAGGTCGATCATAGTTCCGCACATAAATAATTGCATCTTGAGTTATCTCATGTATATATCTTGGACCAAATCAGTGCACAAACAAGGTTATGTTCTTTCCATCGCTTGAGTTCAGTGGCATTACTTACAGAAGTAGGAGAAACGAACATACAAAGGGAGTAGAAAACAGCTATTTTGCTACAGACTGTGAGCCAGTGACGTCAAGCGCTCAAAGATTTGCGGTTGGGGAAAGTAAACCTTGAGGTACAGTGCCTTGGAAAACTAGGGAAATTGAATGGCAAGATTCACTGCTGTGATAATATGATTATCTTGCACATATAAAAGCGTTCTTTTACGCTGCAGAACACGGATTAAAACTTATATCCAGCTTCGATGCGATTATAAAATTAACTGGAATTTACATAACAGAGAGGGGGAAATGCTGATTATTTTTTCTGTATTGCCTACTTTACACATCCTCAAAATTCAAAGTTTTATCTATATTCCTTCTAGGTGCTCTGCTTTTTTTTTATATCAGTTTGTTCTTTTCTTCAGTTGGTGGCATGATATACCTTTGGAATATCCTTCCGGATTCGTTTTCGCGCGAGATCTGCTGAATTATGGAGTTACCACTACAACAGATATTGCTGTTTTTACCATTGATCAGGGAACTACACAGATTTCAAGACTTACTTATACAGAGTGAAATAATTAGTTTGAGATAATTCGGAGAACATCTCACTCGATTCAAGAGTTCTTTTGCTCGATTAGACTGAGTAAGCTTTTATTTGGAAGGTCAGTCTCAGCCTGACCGCACTGAAAAGACACTGAGAACAGTTGTAGAGTCATTAGGTTATTTTGAAGAAGCAGACAAGAAAAACAAGAAATACCTTCGCCGGGACTCGGACCTGTACCTCTCGAATATGCTCCTAATGTGCTACCGTTACACCACAAAGGCATGCAGAAAAAAGGGAGAAAATACCTTATACGTTTAAGTATTTATATTACAATAAAACAGTTGTTAAGGACAATAACATAAGAACATGTAACTTCTCGAAAAGTTTATTGAAAATTTTAACTTTTAATTAATATTTAATAAAGAATTATAATCAAACAAACTATATACTGACTAATCTTTGTCAGACATATTTTTTTAGTAGTTGTCGTGATGTTCAAATATTTTTTCGAACACATAGAATTATAGAAGCAGAAATTTTTTTGAATGATACCTTTTTGAAATCCTTGTACATGATCATCACGGACATGTCCAACGGAAACTTTATTCTACAAGACCCTTCTTAACTAGGCCTTTAAAGTATTATTTATGATATTTCGTGCGAAAATGCAGTTTTGATCAAGAACGTATGCATCTTTAAGAGACATACGTTTCATTACTTGACAAATCCTCGTTTCGGTTAAAACCACCTAAGCACGATATTGTTGCGTGTTAGTCTCATAGTATTCGATCTCATGATTCATAAATGTGCATTCGAAAGGAAAACTTGATTCTTTTTTACAGCTACAAAGTGATGAAATTAAATACAAATAAGTAGAGATTATACTACATTCGTGATGTACAGACACGAATCTTACGACATCACGAATCGTTAAATATATTTAAGAATCAAAATCTCGAATTTTCATGCTTTTTTTCATCAGTGAGATCTTTCAGATCCTAACCTAAGGAACAGCCATTTTAATTCAAACTTTGGAAAGGATTTTGTTTTCCAACAGGAGCATTCATAAAAAAAAAGGGGTGGGGTGGAATGATATTGCTGCTATATTAGTGGACCTAGCTATCAATATCGCCGAGTGCGATCTAGAGTGCAACACAGTTCTAGTTAACACTGTTAATTAGAACAGTATTAATTTTCTGGACAGAATTTAACATTTCAAATTTATAGTTTACTTGAAATATTCTTCCATCCTTCTTCGTCTGCTTATATTAAAAAAAAAAAAAAAAAAAAAAAAAAAAAAATTGGAAAACTATATGAAGATCACCTGTCGTCGAAAATTCTTAATTCCTAATTCACATCAACAAGCACAGGAGAATTACATATTTCTTCATCGAACTAACATTCAGAGCCTTCTCCATCAGTCGATCCCCTGAACTCGTGCAAGACACAATATTGAACTTACGATGGCGATGCAGGTGTTGTTGCTCGAGACCCGATTTGATCTCTTAAAACCATCAGTTGCCAAAAACAGGTGTTGCTGAATACCACTGTTTGGATTTCTTAATGGCATTTTTTGCTGGTAGATGGCATCAATGAAGTGTAATGTCCATTGCTGCCGTGCTAGTATGAAAGCTCAAACTCTGGCATGATAAACTATAAACTTCAAACTATAAACTCAAAAGTGCCCTTCACACTCAGACATTGAGGAAGCTATGTTTCCCTTTGCACGAGAAAAGCTGTCTTAACTGATTCATAATTGTTACCTTTGTATATACCCGCATTTCTATTACAACTCGGTGTAGAGAAGCTTCTGACTAGCGAATATCACATACTCCCAGTGGCGTAGCTAGAGAGGGGCGAGATCTGACCCTGGCGCAACATCCAGAGGGGGCCCAAACTGATATCGCGAAATTTAAAAATGAAATGTTGTCCATTCTTAGCAAACAGATGGGGGAGCGAAATCTTCAGCTGTCCATGGCGCTGAAAATCCTAGCTACGGTTCTACCTACTCATCGGAGTAGATCCCCTTCCGGCCAAATCCCAGTCAAAGCCTGAGATGACAATCCATTCAGCATTATTGTGTTTCTATAAAAAGTGAAATACATGAGCAAACAAGGCTCTTGAAGAGAAATAGGGACAGGAAATTACTCCATTTTTTTAATAAAATTTATCAGAACGCTTATAAAACTGACTAAACCAAATTTCGGAATCTTTCTAAAATGTCGCTACATTTCAGAACATTTTGCCAATGCCAGCAAGTTAACAACAAATTTTTCCGCCAAGGTTGGAGGATTTGATGACGTGACATTTGAATATCCACGTGAGTTATTTTCAAAACTGTTAGAATTATCTCTACAGAATTTCACAAACTGAATCCTGTTTTTACGTAACAAGTGAACACGTGAAAAGCAAAATATCACGTTTAAAAATTTTAAATGGTGAAATTTACAAAAGAAACCTTCAAAAATTTAGTATAAGGCATAAAAAAGATGTAAAGGATGTAATGATGTAAATGTAATGATGTAATGATGTAAATGATGTATAAAGTAATTATACATAAAAGATAAACAATTATTTACATAAATTTAAAGCATCTTTCATCTCAAGCAGAATTTAATGTTTAAATAACATAGAAGTACTTATGTGTGTAGCAATGGTTTTAATCTTCTAAAGTTACAAATTATTAATGAAGTTAAAAACTGATTTATTTAATGCAAAATGCTTAACGGTAATTAATTTATACAAATTTAAAATCAGGAATTGCTTTATCAGTGTAGCAGCCATTAATTTCAATATAAAACAAAATCAGTTTTGATCCAATTAATTATTTTAAATTTAATTCCAGTGAACAGAAATTATCCAAAATTCATTAAGAAAAGTGCAGCGAAATGTAACACATATCCAATTAAAACGAACTAACGTCAGTTGCAGTCAATCGATATTACAACGAGCTAAAGCGATATGATAATGAACTAAAAGTGCTTAAATTTCTCATTGGAATGGTGAATATTAACTTCTTTGCATTTTAAACAAATAATGATGGGGAAAGGATGCATGCTGAAATGGAACTGATTTATGAGAAGATTAAATAGTATGAATCTATAGTTTTCAAATATTGATCGTTTGAATGTAAATAAAGTAATATTTTAGCTTTAACTTAGCTGCGCTTGGTAATAGAGAAGAATGGAAATAAAAAAACAAGTACTAAATATACGGTTATTAAAACGGAACCAATGGAAAATCATAATTTATTGCTAACATAGTGATATCTCCTCAGAGCGGCCGAGAGGTTAAAAATCGCTGAACACGTGGTAGTTCCAACATGGATTCTAGGCAGCATGAGCTTTTTCGTGATTTTCCCCATGTGTAACGTTTATACGAGCCAGTTTTTCTTAGAAAATCCTCCACGAAGACATCCCTTCTCTTAAGCAGATAACACTAGTCTACTTTACCATAATCAACTGAGCCAAATCAAACCAAACCAAACCAAACAATAGCGACAATTGGGCGATGCCCATTCGCAGCTGAACAGTATAATCGCTGAGCCCTCATGATTGGACTCGGGCTCAAATCCCGGCGAACAAGCTGATCGCAATGAATTTTCGTAGTTTTCTTCATATGCAACATTAAAAAGGGCAGTTTATGACAAAACTTTAGTCAGATAGCCCTCGAGTACTTTGCTATTATTTAAATAAATCTAATTCTATTCGGTCAGGGCTTAAACATCGATAACGGTTACTATATTCCAGTCTTGGAATTCATGGCTTGCATTGGTGTTAGACTATCTCTCTCTGTTGTAGCTTTGAATCTTAAGAATGTGAAGGATTTTTTCTGGACAGATTCATCGACTGCGCTACATTGGATTCACAACCAAGAACCGTGGACAGTTTTGTTCAAAATAGGGTTAAAGAAATTAGAACATTTTCAACTATACAAGACTGGAAACACATATCTGGCTCAGAAAACCCTGCAGATTTACCTTCAAGAGGTTGTACTGTAAAGAAATTAATTGACACCCATTTGTGGGAGTGACCATCCTGGCTGAAGATAGAGGGTGATCAATGGCCTAAATCTGATACATTGATCAAACAAGAAGTATTTTCAGAAATGGAAAAGAAATCGTTGATAATGTTAAATGCCACGATGGGAAAAGGCTGGTTTCTTACATACTTTTCAAGCTGTAGAAAAATAACCAGGATGGTTGCTTGGATTTTAAGATTTTCGAATAACTCTCGGAAAACGAGGAAAACAGAATGAGTGATGACTTATCCACAAAAGAACTTTTAGAATCAGAAAGGCAGTTTTTTAATTTAGTTCAAAAAGAATCTTTTACTGAAGAATACTCATCTGGATTGAAATCTATTTCTCATTTCAAAGATCTTTCAGGAACAATGCATGTTAAAACAAAACTGACAGAAAGAAAAGATTGCGAAAACTTTAAAACACCCATTTTATTATCGAATAAACACAAATGGGTTGAGCTATACATCCAACAACGGCATTTAGAATTACTCCATTGTGGGTTGAACACTCTATTGATGGAATTAAGAGAAAACTTCTGGATCATAAATGATGGAAAAAAAAAAACTGTCAGAAAAGTAACTGAAAAATGTATCAGATGCAGAAGACACACCGCTAAGACAATGAAGACAATTCCTGTTGCATTGTCAGAAGATCGAATCAGGGATGCATCAGTGTTCGAAATTTGCGATATTGATCTTGCCGGTCCACCTGTTCTGAAGGAAAGAGTCAAGAACTGGATTCTTTTATATACCTGTGCGGTAGCTGTTCATTTGGAACTTGTGGAGTCTGTCAACTAAGGCGTTTTTACTCAGCCTAAGAAAACTTTTAGTCCGTCGAGGGCGACCTCTAATCATTTATAGCAGCGGTCGTCAACCCTTAGAACTTCACGGACCATTACATATATAATTTTATATTTGGCGGACCACTAATATGAATAAAAAGAAAAACCTTAAATCAGACCTTAAAAACAACATATTAATGCGCTAAAACAATATTCAACTTTCCAATACATGTAATTCTACTTTTCATTCGTTAATATATCTTTCGAAACATTTGGTGTTCAGCAGCATGCCTTTATGGAAATTCAGGCTACGCCCATGATTATGAGTAACTATTAAAACACTATTAACATCTCACTGATACACATATTTCGTTCTCATTGAAAAATTATATGAAAAGTATGAAACTCTTACCTTCTTGTACAGAAAGCTTCCCATTTCCATATTACTGAAAACGAACGTCACGAAAAGCAAGAACAAACGGCAATATCAATAAACTGAAAATGTTATGCCGCCAGTTTTTAATTATTGTAAACATAATAATCAGCGCTTATTCAGCAATTCTGCCATCGATCAACAGTTAGAAAAAAAAAAAAAAAAAAAAAAAAAAAAAAAAAAAAAAAAGGGAAACGGAAATTTCCAGTAATGTAGTTGTAAACAAGAATGCAGATGGTTCTCATAAAAATCCACCCAGTTCCCTATTGACACGAAGAACGACTACAATAGCATATGTTTGTAATTCAAAAGGAAAGAGAATACCAATCCGCGCTATTATTGATAACAGCAGCATATCCATGGATCCCAACTCTCACTTTCAAATGTCGCTAGTAGCGACCAGCAAAAGTAGCTAAAAAGTCGCTAAATTCAGAAGAAATTTCGCTAAAAGTAGTAGCTAATTTTTTTAAAAAAATATAATCCATATTTCACAATAGGTTTTGTTACTCGTCATTTTTTAAACTGAATCTTCATAAAAATATGAATTATGTCCCAATTTTTTTGAGGACCATCGAAAAGTGTTCACGGACCACCAGTTCGCGACCGCTGATTTATAGCAATAACGGAAATAATTTCATTGGTACAAATAATCTTTTCAACTCCATTGACTGGAAAGTAGTTGAATTGGAGGCCAGTTTCGAGAAAATAACTTGGAAGTTAGTTCCTCCTACCGTGGCTTGGTGGGGAAGGTTCCGGAAACGCCTTATACAGTCAGTAAAGAAATTATTCCGACGTGTGCTAAGTAGTGCAAATGTGACGCACGAAGAAATGTCAACTTATATTTGTGATTGCGAGTCCATAATTAACGCAAGGCCTATTACATACATATCAGAAACTTCAGATGACTTCCAACCTTTAAATCCAGCAATGTTTCTGCAGCATATTCAAGAAATGAGCGTTCCTGATCTGGACCAAGTTTCATAAAAAGAGTTCATTACCAACAACGTCTTAGAGAAAGGTTGATGCTGAGATTTAGAACAGAGTACTTTGGACAACTACTGCGCAAACGATCTTCAAAACTTCCAGAGTAGTGAATAAAAATTGGTGATATTTTCTTATTTGAAAATGCCAATCAAAAACGTGCATTTTAGCCGCTGGGGCGTGTAATCTACATTTACCCTGGTAAAGACGGTAAAGGTAGATTACTGTGTTTTAAAACTGCTTATGGATAATTATTGAGAGCTGTACAACGTATCTGCTGTTTAGCTTCAAGTATCAAGTAATAGCTGTTTAGCTTCAAGTAATTCAAACGAGAAGGAGGAACTTCCAGGGAAGGAATCAGATTGTTCAGGAAGTTCTTAAGGAGAAAATCAAAAGTGGTCGGAACATTAAAACGCCTACTTAAATTCAAGGACTATGAACCTTAACTTAAATTTGTAGTATTATAATATAATTTTGATATAGTATCATTTATCAAAATGTGCGAGAATGTTGCATTATTAATGTGATTTAATTTTATATTCTATTTATTATCGTTTTATATCTTAAGTTGTTCTTAAATGGCAACACTGTTAACATATATTTAGAACAACTGTGTTTTGAAAATATTTTAGTTCTGTTGTTCAAAGTAATAAATGTCGTTCTTAAAAGAAAGTTTGTATTTCTTTTGTCTTATCCAACACAGTCAAGTTCACGCGCATTTCTTGGGTTCGAAATCTTGGTAGTGTAAACAGGCTTTTATGGCCTTCAAGTAATGTACCACTTTATGCTATCTTTTACCCAAAATGTAATAGACTCTGTATAAATGCTTAAATACAGAAAACCGAACTTTTTGGAAGTTTGATATAAAAGTTATCGTGGACGAAAAAATCGTCGCACACATACAAATATATACACATCATAGTAAAAGTAGTAAAAATATGTTCTGGAGAACCTAATGCTTGCTTATTCACTGAAAACGCATCTTCGTTCTCTATGTATATCGGTTAACGGGAGGTAAAATCAACTAGCATATCTTAAAAAATACCAAACACTTTTTAAAACTTCTTTTGTTAATTTAGATATTATCTGTCAGGCAGACTTTAAATGTACATGTAAAAATTCAGAAAACTGAAAAAGTGTGCAAACTGCATCTAAGGGGAATGAAAAAAACAAATAAGAATCAACACGCTTAAAAAAAATCGCATCTCCAGTCTTATACTGTATTTCTGAGAGGTTTATGAGCTTTCACGTTAATGGCCGTTATTATCATATGCTTTTCATCATGTATTCAACTGATGTATTACATTGAGACTAACGACATTTTATTCCCTTTTTATCTGACTATATTTACAGTTGTGAGTTCGTTTTGCCATTAAGATGTCATTCGAATTCGATTTGACTCGGCATTTCACGAAGCTCAATCAGGAAAAAGACCCATGGCATTTTCAGGTATCCCGTTTACATCGGAACAAGTGGCGCCATCTGCATAGCTTGAAATAAATCTGGATATGAATTTCAATAAAGGTTACAATCGTCATAGTGGCGCCATCTATTATACAAAAAAGAAGTTACGATAAATTTTCTAAATTAAATGTTTCACATCAGTAGCGCCATTTAGGCGCTACTGATGTTAAATTTAGGTATTTTTTCCGAATTTGAATCCCAAGAAACCACACAGTATTTAAAAACTAGAGAACGAATTTCAGCCAGAAATCAAAAGTTTGTAAGTTATCGTTTAAAACATTGTATAACAATTCAGAAAATTTCTGCTGCATTTAATCCATCAGCATTAGGAACTAGGTTTATCGATAATTTCAGAATTCTCTAGGATATTTCTTTACATATTTAATAGCTACAGGCTACAGTTTTTTTAAAGGAATCTGCATTCTTTCGAATGATGCAAAGAACAAACAAAAACAAACAATTCGCTACAAAATTTATTTCAGTGAAATTTAAGCGTGAAACTATGGGATTTTTGATTTTTAGAAGTTTCTTAATGTTTTTATAAACACTTACATTTTTTACTTTATGTTTTACTTTTTTTGGTCTTTGAAAACTTTACTAACCTTGTTTTCAGTTAACAAAAGGAATCCTAAAATCGCATGAATAACCTTAAACATTCATATTGTGATAAACTTTTTATGAACTGTGCTATTCTGACGGAAGATTCATTCAAGAAATCTGCTTTCTGAAGTCGAGACTCAGTATATTGCGCACTGAATCACCTCGTTACTCATTTGACTCAAAATAATGAGATGATCTTGGAGAAACCAATAAAAACACAAGTTAATGAATCGAAATGAAGAATCAGGTCAGAAGAAGGAAATCGACATTAAGAATTCCAATATCAGTAATTTTTTAAATCATTATGTTTACAACCGTTGACCTAAAGCTGTATAAATATTTCCATATAGCACAAAAATCTCCTCCGGATATCATGAAGATGTTGCTTGGAAGCTCAGCGCACATCTCCAGAACTTCTAGGAATATCCCCTTAATCTCCTAAACACATTCTTCCGAGTGCTTTCTATCAAACCTCAGTACATCCTTAGGACATCCTCACTAGGTTCCAGCGACAATGTACGGAGTATTAGAAGATTTAAAATACTACTTACCACATCCTCAAGATTTCCCAAAACATCCCGTGAATTTGCTAACACATAATTTATATACAATAGAAATTTTGCATAGCGACTTAAAACAGAATGTTAAATGACGTATTCCTTAAGATAGCTGAGAATCAAGATACTCGATATATCTTAAGTGTCTTCCAGAACATTGCAACTTAAACGGGACATCCTTATGAGTGATGTTATGGGGGTTCATTTATTTAGTTGCTATGTATTTATATGCTTTCGACTCCAAATTAATCTCTGTAATTAGAGCTGTTTCATTAAATAACTTTAATCCACATTTTAATTCAAAATTAATCTTTATTAAAGCTCTTAGCAAGCATAAAGAATTCTTTAGAACAACAAAATTGAATAATCTTTTTGTTGCCATTCCAAAAACAACAAAAACAAAACGAGATTAACCATTATTTAAAATTTCTGTACAAGTTCAAGCCACAACATCATGCTATCTCAAAAATGCTTCGAAAGTTTCTTCAAGACAAATGTGAGAAATGTTGATACATATCTTGAAATACATAGCAATAAAGAATTGTACATTATTGCAATAAAAAGAAAAATTTAATAATTTAAGGTTTGTTAAGTTAATTAATGTTTGATATCATGAAAAATGTACTATTCATTGAACTTATGGTCGTGCAAAATATTTCGTGTAGAAAGAGTTCAATAAATTATTTAATTTTTGTTAAAATTTAATGTCATGAAGAAATGTTGAATACATGTTAATCCTTGGAACAAAGTGTTGTTCCTTAAAATGTAAAAGTATAAAACTGTAGAAAGAATAATGATAATAAAAATTGCTAATCAGTCTAACGTACAGAGCAATTAGTTGAAGAACGACTTCTGTATTTGTCAAATTTTGAGTAAAATCGTTATTGTAGCAGGAACCTAAAATAATACAAGCTCTTTTTTTATTTTATTTAATTATTAGTCATGGAATTATTTAAATTTATTATTTATTTCTTTACATTTATTTTTTGAGTATTTAGTATTTTATTAATTTAGTTTATTTTTCGTGACAGGGACACTTTTCCGACACGTCTAATTTTAGAAATGAGGCTCAGATTCAGATAAAAGCTAATAAATACAGACTTTTTAATAGTAAGTCAATTTTTTGGTCCGAGCACATAATTAAATCACACATTCACTTTTTTAATACCTTCAGACTTTAGTCTCACTTTTCTCATTATGTTCTTGCTTTTAACAAGAGTGTGAATTTGAAAAAAAAATCAAAAGCAACTCATTTACCCTAGAAACATATTCTCGAATTTAAATTCCAAGGTGAAGTGAACTTTTTCTGCAAAATGGTGCAGAGTTTACAATCAGCGTTTATTTCACGTACAAATGATAGTTTCGACACTGTAAAGGTTAATGATGCTGGTCATGATAGATGAGTCAAAAACACTCGCTATATTCTTCAATCACCTCCTTCGTCGCAAATTAAACGTTTTTATCTAGAAGCAAAAGGTTACTGGTTACCTGAATGTTATTCACTCCCAATGTATGTAATTGAGGAAACTTTGATTTCGATCTTGAATTCATGCAAGAGCAATAATAATCAAATTCTATAGTTCGCATTTATAGAATGATGGTGTTCAAATAAATTTTAGATCCATTAAAGGAATTCTCACAGTCGTTTAAACAGTAAAAGACATCATAGAGTTCCGACTGGACATTTCACGTACACGGGCTCAGTGATCTGTAGAAAAATACTATGTATACTGTGAAAACTATTCTCCAAAGCTAGTAGTATGACCAAAAGATCAAGTTTCATAGTAACGAATTAAGTGCAGGTAGCCACACGCAGTTTAGACAGACGCAGTTCAAGTTCATATATTTGTTTGAGCTTACTGGACAAAGAGGAATCAGGCAAACTTCATATAAATGGTTAGTAGATGAAGGACATAATATCTGACGAAGAATCATGTGTTCCTTTTACCTCCTCAGAATAGGAAGGCAAAAATTCATGGGACATAATATCAATCTTAGCTACAGTAACAACCTAATTTTGATGGCAATGGAATGAATGAACTTAGATTAGGTCAAAATATATTGCAAGACAATTTTAAAAATATTTCAAAAGAATCGAATACACTAAATGTCTGATCAACAATCGTTAGATCAGATACATCCTCGGCTAAACCAAATGGCTAAAAATGAATGTATCCGCTTATTAAAAGATAATTCGTTTTCGTAAATGGAAAATCTAGTCCTCTGTAAAAATATGATGCGCTGGTTATATTAAATATAGTTATTACAGATAGTCAAAAATGTACGCAGAAAAGTGGCAATACAGTATACAAGTTTGCATACTTGCGACACATGGAATTTCATGCAGTGATAATGGTCGCCAGTTAATTGTTAACAATACATTAAATTGTTAACAATATCTGTAATTACCTGCAAAGTAAATCTTACTTCAGATTATAATTCCTAATTAGTGAGATTCATATTTAACATAAGACAATCTTTCGAGTAATGATTAGCATCCAATTAATCTTCGAAATAATCTTTTGCAGTAATTTGGAAATTCTTCACGATTTGTTATAAGGTGTATTTGCAATACTTCAGCTCTGTTCCACTTTTCTGTATTTGCTGTTCGAAACTCCTTGTAATCCTTCTTGTAAGAGCCACAGAAAGATGCCCTTTCAATCTAAGATTACCATTGACTTCCATCACGAATAAAGATATCAAAAGACTAATTACTATAACTGAAATTTACCAGTTTTTTTGACAAATGCAGTTAAATTATTACGCTACAAGTGGCTTTCAAAGAAACGTACGTTTTATACAAAATACTCAATATAATATAACCTGTTGAAAATGTAAGAATGAATGGCTGTATTTACAATTTTATCTGCAGCATGACTAAGGAAATTTTATTTTTGTCTAAAAGCTCATTGGATCCCACCTATTTTAATTATAGTGTAACTGTTTATTAAAAGTTTAAATGTAAATGTTAAAGGATATAACCAGATTGGTACAGGAATAATATTTTGAAAAACTTGAGAAAAGGATAAAAATCCTGAATTTTTAATCAAGGGATGGAACATTCAGATCATTGAATCCAACGAATCTTTGGAGGAGAGGAAAAGGTGGCGCTGTTTTTTTTTTTTTTTTTTGAGGATTTGAGGGTGGAGTGTTATTGAACACTCAAATCTCTCAAATCCTGAGTAAAAAAGCCATTGGGGGTTTTAACCTAAAACTTCGTAAGGATTATTTTTATTGATGTTCAGAAGAAGCATTCACTAAAAAAGAAAGCTTTTTAACGCCATTTTAGTGAATATGGACCCACAAAAATCACGTCATGGCGACCTTTAGTGCCATGCTGTTTAATTTTCTAGAAATAATTTAGTGATTCACGTTTAATGGTTATAAGGATTTATTCTCGACATAATCAATTTCCATTAATTTTTGAATTGATTTTAGAAAGAATATGGAGAAATTTCATTGAAGAAATAGAATAAAAATTTGAAGATTCAAGAGCTTTGATTAATACACGTTTTTTACTATATCTGAATTTGTGATATCTTAATACGAGTGTATTTTTATTACAAATTTGTTTTCAATCACACAGATTTTAAAATTTGCTTTAATATAAATACCTGTTTAGTAAAAGTTTTTTTTTTCTTTATCATTTTTATATGAAGGCGTTGAGAAATTCCAGAATTTTAAGGATTTGTTCTATCTCTGTTTTAATCCCTTGAAATAAAGAAGACTTTTTATATTTGAAGCGAAAATTAGCAAATTAAACCAAAAAGAGATTTGTACAAGAAATAAAGCGTAATTATCATTTAAGGAATACTGTAGTTTTCTAAAAGGAATTCCATGAAAAATTATTCTAATAATATTGTTAAGATTAATTCTAATAATACTGTTAAGATTAATTATAAATAATATGCACGAGCTGAAAGATCAGATAATACTGCTAAAAACAAGAATTGTAAAAATGAGGCTTGTTTGAAATATTTTCCTTCATTAAAGAAACTGAAAATATTTTAAAAAGTTTGAGGCTTCCCTCATTTTCTAAAATTTATCTACTTAAGCTACAAGCAGCTGATAGTACTTTTGCTAAATTATATGCAATTTTTAAACTATTAGAATATTTTCACGCCAATGACCGCAATAATTATAATAGTATTGTAAAGAATTTAATAACTGCTACATGGAAGGTAAATGGCCTCTTCCGTAAATTAAAAAAATGATTAAATTATAATACTTCCATTATTAAAATTTTATAAAAGTAAAATATAAAATTGTAAATAAGACACCCTGCCAAAATACGAGATAAAAGAATACTGAAAAGAATAGATATATAAAATAAAAGTATTTATTAAAAATACATTTTTATGAATAAATTAATCGTTAAAAATAATGCCCAGTTGAATTACTGGTGGTCAGATTCTCGCAGCAACTGCCTCCGACTTCTTTCATCGATTACGATCTTTTCCAATTCACTTAAACCACATCATTGTCTTTGAAGTGATTAACAGAAAGAAAATGTTAGGATTTGTCCATCATAGTTCCATATCTCACTTGTATGTTTTGGGGATTTTCTATTGAATTCAAAATTTCATATTGGTGCACATCAGGAGACCAGGGTTGCTTTTCAGCCGAAGAGAAGAACACGAACACTAAAGTAGTCACTATTAGGATGATGACTGTGATGAAGAACACTATTCGCCACTGATGAAGTGTTGGCTGAAAAAGGAAAAAGCAATCATACTGCATTGCATCAAAAAAAGATTCGTCTGTTGCACAGAGTGATTAACAATAGTTGTTGCAGTCTAGAGGAAACAGCAAGTTTTGAATTACGACTTATACCCAACTTAGAGAAACTTAACTGCTATTTGAAATATTCCGGTATTTCAATGAAATCAGATGCACAGGTTTTCTTTATTTTACAAAACCTTTCGTAAGCCGAAATTCACTAAAGCGAAGAGGAAATTACAATAATTAATATGTGGAAATGTGTTTAAGAGCTTCAGGGCCAAATATATATAGGGCGATTCTAAATTGTTTTTACAAATTAAGAGGATTGATAGTACTCATCCAGATAAGCAATAATTACCATCAAACATAGGATCGCATTGGAGAGGCAGAAAAGAGGAATATTAGAATTCCAACACTGTTTGGAGAGCGAATAAACGAGACCAAAAGTTGAGCAATCAGTTTAGTGAAAAATTCACAAAGAGTGCACAAATCGGATAAAACCGAAAACTTGAGAGTGTTAATTCGAGTTTAGACTTTGCTGGCAAACACTCAGATACAGATCTCTGGTTCGCAAGGATACAACCTCGCAAACGATTGCAGCAAGTGAATTATATAATCAAGGGCTGAATATTATCAATTAACTCCAATTTTCGCTGTATGCTCAGATTAGCATGAAAAGTTCATACTGTGTTCCGGCTGTCAGAACTTCGTGTCCCATAGAAGGGCGCTTCAAGTAGAACGAGCGCAGCATAGTAAGTCCAGGAGGACAGGATAGAAATTGGCGAAGGAGGAAAAAACTGCACACAGCGGAAGTTGGTTGATAATATTCAGCCCTTGATTAGATAATTAACTTGCTGCAATCGTTTGCGAGGTTGTATCCTTGCGAACCAGATATGTGCATCTGAATGTTTGCCATCAAAGTCTGAGCTCGAATTACCACTTGAACGCCAAGTTTTTGGTTTTATCCGTTTTGTGAACTCAGTTTTTAACTACTGCGCAACTTTTGGTCTCGTTCATTCGCTCTCCCAACACTGTTGTAAGTTCAGGTTGGAATTCGAATATTCCTCTTTTCTGCCTCTCAGAATGGAATGCGACTATGTTCTAGGGCAATTATTGCTATCTAGAGAAGTACTATCACACCTCTTAATTTGTATAAACAATTTAGAATCACCCTGTATATATATAGAGAGAGATACTAAATGACGCAAAAATTCCAAAGTAAAATTAACGAATAGTAAAAAGATACGTGATAAATACAAAGCATTTTGTAACAATATGTGTTTGCGTCGTTAGAGAACTTGTTCTCTTGGGAACGAACCTCAATTATCCACCATGGGCCGGTGAAAGTGATCGAGAGCAAGTGTGTGTGCGTCATTAAAGAACTTGTTATTCTACAGGGAACGAACCCAGTATCTATCGTGGGGCTGATGATAGTAATTAAGAAAGACTTTATTAATGTCTTTTCTGGCTAGAGTTATAGCTAAAATCTTTTGCGTAGTGGTTAAGTAGTGACTTTAAAATCTGCTATCGCAGACTTGGGCCGTGGTTGAATTTTTGCTTTTCTTAAATACTGTACTGACGAATTCCTACACGAACGTTTCCTAAAATATTCACGATTTTCTTCTTATTTAAAACGAATAAAACATAAATAGTCAGGACACATTGCTTATTCAAATTTCATTCTGTCAGCTACATGGACTGAGACTTATTGTAGTATAACTGTATTATAAGAGTTATTTAATTTAAATATAAGAATTAATCTATCCCAGAATCCGTTTATAGAGCCTTTATATCATCATCAATCAGTTGTCAGACTCGCTTAAGTATTCAGAAGAATTCTAATTTCCCACTGATAATATGCGACTACTATTTTAAGCTATAATTATTTTTGCGATTTGCTTAACAAGCACTATATGCATCTACTGTATTTATTTAAATTTCTCGATGTTTTTTCCATTTATAATTTTAACTTATTTAATATCTCTTTATGCAGTACTGTGTTCCATTACAATAAAAAACGATTAAATCTTTCAATTTCCTAGAATATTACAAATCACCATTAAATGACAAAAATTGAAATGCATGTATATTTGCTCTTCGATAGAATTTACAATCATCTATTTAGTTATATATCAAGGAATTTGATGGAAGCTTTTTCGTACATTCTCAAACTGTTACACAGCTTGAATTTGTAACAAAACTAATTAAACAATAAGAATTTAAAATTTATTCAGTGCTAAACATAAATTATTGCAAATTCTACCGAAGGAAAAAAATTCATTTAACTTTTGTCAGTTAATGGCGTTCTTCATATGTTCATATTTAAAAACGATGGAACAAAAATGTGTGCCCCGAAGGATTTGTCACTGAAGAACAGATATTTCGTAATTTGCCTCTCGAAAATCCTTTACATTTTTACACCTGAAATGTATGCTAAACATAGCCCCTTATTATATTTTAAAAACATTTTAATCATTTATTATCTTTTGTCTCCTTCCCGGAAGTGGTTTGTTGAACTGGATCTGTATCTTGTCAGTCTCGGCACTGGGGAATAAAAACACGAGCTTGGCGGTTCCAGAACCCCAAGGGTTTCGTTTAGTTTATTTATAATTTCTGGCACAAAACCTTAGGAGGTTATCTGCGCCAAACAAAGGGTGAAGACAATTGACTTTGTGGACAATTCCTATTTACTTTAGGTCAGGTAAAAAAAGACTAACACATAATAGTTTATAATAAATTCAATACACTTTAGAAACTGGAACAACTTGTGATGATGGTTTTTCCCAATTTTTTTAAATCAAATTTTAAACAATTCATATGTTTTGAACGAAAATAATGAAAACTGACATTCTAATAAAATATGGCTAACTGTTAGATCCGCATTACAGTTTGCGCAACGGAGAATCTTCTCGCCCGAGTTTTTATAAAAGAACCCAAAGGTAACATTGCCCTATATAGTTGGACCAACGGAGGATTGGTGGTTAAGTTCCCAAATTAGACCAGCCCCCTGCACCTGGGGGCTTGTCCATTGTCCACCGAATACAATGAAATTCCCCTTATGCTGAGCGACCAGCACAGTAATAGTGGGCAGGATCATTGATGATCAGCCAGATCTTCAGGTCAATGGATCCGCATCCCACAATGAGACTTAAGAAACGGGAGCTGTGAGCCCGCAGACCCGGAAAGAGAAACCTAAAAAGTCTGTCGTCGATAGTGTGGGTCTGGCGGCAATAAGTGATAATATTTTTAATGCTCTCCAGGATGGCATACTGCTCGATTTCCTGCTTCCCGCTTGATATGGAGGATTTTCGAATGAGGATCAGGCTGCAGTAGCGATAATGAAACATTTTCATTTGACTGACGTTTCCACAGTTCAAAAGTGTATTGATCAAAGCACTATTAAAATATTAGAAATATTTACCGCAGATGTCAGAAATGAAGCAACGATTAAAAATAACTTGGAATCGAAAGGAAAAGTAATGGGCTTTAATCCGATACTTCAGCGAAATCTTATTAAATATTTCCTAGAAACAAAGAATAAAGATGCTTTAATGATAACTAAGCTATGTATTGATTAATCAATAATACTCTTTCCCAATTTAATGACGCCAGAAGATATTATAGGCAGGTAATTGAAATGAAATTCAGACGTGTTTTAATAACTTACAAGATAGCTGAAGTATAAATTGAAGTTTATTTATGATTTAAGTGAAAGAACACTAAGAAATACTTTTGGAAAGTTTTGGATTTTTAAAATGCTTAGTATGCAGTACTTTGCATTGGTAAGGAATTAATGGTACAGAAATCAGAAATAAACGTTCATCAAATGAAAAGAGTAGATAGATGTTTATACAGATAGTTTACTATTCAATATTATTAGGAATTTTGTATATATGTAAATAACTTTAATAAAATTGAATGTGAAACTGTAGTATTTTTTGTGTAATATTAAATGCATGAAAGAGACGATGCACTGCCGGAAAAATAGGACTAGCAGGGGGCAAATCTGTTCAATAGTAAGTAAATGGTTCTCTCGTTAAACTGGCGAGATATCTCCAAGCTGGTGACGGTTTTGGCAACTAATTTTTGTCACCTTGGAGAGAAATCGCCAAAAGATGCCAAATATGGCGATAATTTGGCAACACTCTGGTCCGATCCATGTCTAACTATAATTGGTATTGCGATTGAATTAATATAATCTATTTATGTAACTACAACCGGCCCTCGTATGCCTTCCAGTAATTTAAAGAAGTACCGCTCAGAGGGTATAGTGCTTAGAGAAGCCTATTGCGATAACTATTGCTATAGGGCCCGTGTTCAAATCCCGGAGAAGGCATACTGTAATTGTCAGTCCCTTCATGGGGGTAAGGGTGGCCCACCTATTAGATGCTTCCGCAATTGTTCCACTAATATGGCCAGAAGTGACACCACTTCTGGCCATAGTAGTGGCCAAGACTAAGTGCCCGATAATGGGAGAAAATATTCGAGAAGTGGAAAGTAGAGATTTCTCGGCGACTGGGGATAACCATACTCTAAGACTGGACACTACATCAGTTTCTCGATTGTTTAGCTTAGCGTGGGTTCGGTTTATTGAGAGATTTCTGTATGTCCTTCGTTTTTTTAGATGCGGTTTGGATTGCGATGTGTTAACGTCTTAGTAGTTTGAAGTGGTAACTACTGATTGTGTCTTGTCACACTATGAATACATGTACGAGTGCTTTTGTGGAAACTTCGGAGCTGTAAAATATTTCTTTTGCGATAATAAACATTATGAAGCTATCATCGGTTCTGTATGCATTGAATCCATTACGAGCCCCTACACATGCTGTTGTAGTTCAGTTTTATTTAAATCGAAGAACGTGAATTCTGATCAATATTTTCATTGCCATTGCAGTGCATTGCACAACGATGATAGAAATTATTACATATGGGTCTTATTCTGAGAATTACCAAAATTTTGTACAATCCATTCCATACCGATTAGAGACCATTATTTATTTGCCTATTAAGAGTGCAGATTTCCTGGAAAAGAAAGAAATGGCTGTTCTCAAAGGCATCCAGAAATTTAATGACTTTCATTCTGGTAATAGACTGATAAACATCGAATTTACGATTCATTTACGATTTGCTCGTAAAGGCTAAACGAAAGCCTTTTCAGTGTCGTCTGAACAATGGATATATTATCCCAGTTTCTTCTCGTGCTACAAACTGTGAATCGTTTTTTTCTTGTCCTAATGTCATCTGTTTTGCAGTACACCGAGGAATTCTCTAGTGTATTTTCTTTACGACTCATGACAAAGAAAATTTCATGGACAAAGAACGCTCAAATAAGGATTTACACTTAATAGGCTTAAATTTGTAATTTGGAAATATTATAAGGCAAGAGGGCCAAGTACCAATAGCTGGGCATTTTTAAATACAATTTATCCAATTTTTTTCAGGTAGACGTCATGGTAGAGTAAAAGATTAATTATCATTATGTTGAATAATTATTAATACACCTTGTCAGTTTTTGAATTTATATAAAAATCAAAATTTGGCATCGGAACTTCACCTTTTCTTTAAGTTTTAGATACTAAAAATCTCGCAGAGGCAATTTCAAACAAAACTTTAAGATATTCATATAAATCATTCGCAAATTAAATAATAATTTATCATTTTGCTTTAGCAAGTATTCTTGATATTTCAGCGATTGTTGCCGCACCAACTTACAGTAACATAAAAGAAACCCTCCAGTGACCGAGATGAAACTTTTGAACACAGTTAGCTCATCCTGGATTCTGTTATCGATGGCTGCATCGAGATTTCCTATATGTAACGCAAGCAGATTCCTAATCTAAAGTCTATAACGGAGCATTTCTCTAAATCTCTTTTGTTTTGCCATAATAAATAATTTATTATGGCATAATAATTTGGTTAATAATTTGGCCATAATAATTTGGTTATTCAAAAGTTTTACATTAGTACTGTGTTACCCTATAAATTTTCTGCAATGACACGATATTTAACCACTATACTATAAAAGTAATACGAAATAGTACAAATGAAGTAACAAATACAGCCAAATATATTATAAATAATATAAATGCTATGAACACAATATTAACGTTGGATTATTTGTGTAACTTGAAAGTTTCATTGATTTCTGGATCTAATAGTGCCTATTGTATCTAACAAGTCGTCCTCAGTTTAAACCTTTCCCCAATTCATCGGCAAAAATTTCCAAAAAATTACTGCAGATTTTAGAGATGCAAAATAGTTTTTAAGGGTTAGTTTAGATAAATAGTTTAGATGATTATTAGAATACGTACGTGACATTTTATTGCTATAGAATCATACTTTAATGGTCAAACAAACTAGAACTGTTTTTAGTTTTTAATTTATACAAATATCGGCTATACTAATGCTGAAGTCCATTGTTTTCTAGCGCCAATAAGGCTATAAGACCCTCTTTTTGAAAAATATATATATCGAGCAAAACTTTTCAAGACATTTTGCTCCGCCATGAGCATCATTTAATTTATTAACATTTGAAACGTTTTCCTTATCACCATTTCATTTTGTAACTAATCTTATACACGCCCTCGGTTGGCGACAAATTTTGCGCCAAACATTTTTGGCGAGAAACTCTACGGCACCATATTACTATCTAAATAAATTTAGTCTACATTTCGAACTTCAAGCCTAAAATGTCAGCAAAAACCACGTTGTAACACAAAATTTACGGCAAAAATCCGAAACAAAAAATTTAGATATCAAAAACGTAAAGTTTCTAACCAGAAATATTTGACAAGAATACATGTACACAGAGATCTGTTTTAACTTAAAAAAAAAAAAATCAGCGAATTGCAGAATCTAGGCATCGCGCACAGCCTCGGCATTACGCACAAATCAACAAAGTAAACTAAAATAAATTACAAACGATTAAAAAACAACAGTAAAGACAGAAATTATAGCCAAAAATAAATAAATAAAAAATTGAACATAACACTCAACAAAATAAGAACGATAAAATGAACTTATGATTTGCGAATGCTTCTTCAAACAGCAGAAATATCAATTTCAAACATCAGCAAAATTCATCTATTTCCGTCACTTTATCCGGTTAGAGTAGACTTTAAGGTACCCCTTGTAATATGGCGAAGTTGTTGTTTCATTTATCGCAAAGCTGTTGTTTCATTTTATGGTAGCTTAAGTAGTTGGATGTTATGGAAACCCTATTCTGACATAATTGGGTGCATGATTCTGGGAAACTTTGAATCATGGGATGTTTTGTAAGCGCTTTTATGGTGTGTGTTGGTTTGCAGTAAGATTAATTTGAAGTTTCTGTACGATTTGGAGGGAAAAGAGGTTAATTGACTAGTGTGTAAATGAAGGTTTACTTAGTAGCCGTTATAAGTATCCTGTATGTAGGAAAAATATGCGTCTAGTCGAACGTAAAAACCATTGGATGGATTTGAATGGGTTTGTAGGAAGAAAGGTTCAGATGTGCCGACGCCGATATACGGATTCGAGTTCATATAATTTTAGGAAGTTTTTGGATGTTATTTGTCTTGTTCATTTTGGCTTTGTGTAGTGGCGATTTTTTTGTGCAAAAATCGCCGTTATGCAAGCCAAAATAATAAGTCAAAGATTTGCACAAACTCGGTATCCATGTACCGCCAAAATCGCCAAGTTTCGCCAAGGGGTACTCTAAAATATACTTTTACCCTTTATCCTTTCCCCTATCTTCTGAGACACAAAGCATACAAAGACCAGCATAGATTCGTGAATAAAATTTCGCCCTTACATTTTAATACTAAATTTATTTTGCACGCAACCCAAAATAAGTGACTGAAATTTTGCCACCAAGTCTTTCATTGCAACATGAGCCATTTCAAAACGCCCACCAAACCAGCCAACCACTCCAGCAAAAATAAAGTTTCAACGTCAAAAGGGTTGCCATACAAACAACGTCGCGCCAAAAACTTCAGAACACACAATCGCACCAAAAACCAGCGCAGAACACATATTACCACATTTGACGACGGTATACATCTGAGGGCGTATATAAGAGTAGTACCTTCATTTTTATTTACTTACAAGTACAAACATTTCGCTTTTGAATTTTTACATGTCCTCTGACTATAAATCTTAAAATGAAAAATTAAATATATCGGTCAATTTTTATCGCACGGAGACAAACTTAAGCTAATTTATTAAGTTTTGGATTTTATAGTTTGCATTATTTTGAGTTATAGACAGTTATCAACCAAATAGCATATTGCAGTTCATGCTTTAAATATAAAGGCAAGTACAACATTAAGCAGTAGAATAATTTGTTTCTAAACTTTGGCATAACCTTTAAAAAAAAGCATATTTATTACCAGTATTGCATATTAACTTAGTATACTGAGGTACATAATTTAGAGATCTTTTCAAAAATTAAAAATGAATAAAACTTACCGAATTTTCAGTAAGAGCTCCAACCACAGACGGTGCCAAGAATCCTGTTAAGTTTGATATCGTATTTGCTATACCCATCAATGTACCTGAAATAGCGGCATATTTTACTTATCTTTTAAACATAATATTAAGATTTGTTTTATTTATTACCTTTTTTTATCCCTTTCTTAATCCTCAAATCTCAAAAATTAAATGTGTTTCTGACACGACTGCAGATGGCTCATTTTCTCGATCACTGCTCATTTGGTGCAAAATTGCAATTACAATCGATTCTACCGTACACAGATGACACATGGTGCTAAGAAAACTCTGTGGTCATGATTAAACCAACTCGATTGACCTTCGGCTTATAGAATTTTTGCTATAAGGCTTCAAACTTCTGCTTTTTAATCATGACTAGTTAAAGAGAAGCCGTTAGTTGAGCTATAATGAAACCTCTACAGAGCCAAGCACCACTAATTTAGTGTAATTACACTGTAGAGCATGGAGTTTCAATTTAAAATTGCATATCGCAGAATTTCGCTGCAAACAGAAACGCGGCACTGTCATTATTTTAGACTCAGACTTACTCAGGCAACTAAAGTGTTTTAATAAACAGTAAATTCTTCCCTCGGGGGGGGGAGTTGTATCAATAAAATAGAAAAATAGTTTTAATACTTCTATTTATTCTTTGTTCGCAAAATAAAATCTTAAAAAATTTAACCTTGACATCTATAAGCAGTTCTCAAAAACTTACCTGCGTATTCAGGTGATAAATCTAAATGTGACACCATGTAGCCAGAATAACAAAATCCACCAATAGCGAGAGAGCAGGTGAAAAAAACAACATTCATTGTGACATCACATCCAGCCAAACATACACCTACGAGTCCAGCGGCTGTACCCAAACCAGCTGTCAGAAGAAAAATAAACATCACGACTATTATGTTTATGTGAGAAATAAAACAATACTGACTGGCATTAGATGCAGAAATTATTATACTAATTCAAACACTATGTCCTCGCCATTTCTTAACATTGCCAGACTGGAAATATCGAAGTGTTTCTTAATTTATATTTTTATTCATGACTTTATTTACGATAGAAAGACAAATTAAGTAAACCTTTTCATTTTTATTAAATATTACAATCTTTTCAATACAGTTTACTGTTGATCAAAATGAAATGTATTATAATTGCATCCTCAAGGTAAAAAATAAAAGATTATGCTATAGTATTCCAAAGACAACAAATCAGTTATTGTCATTAATAATGCAATAAATGTTATTTTTTCCCAAAAAGTATTAGAAAATGTATTTTAGAAGACTTAAATTTTATTTACACACTATGTTTTGGGATTCCTACTAATGACCGAGTGGTTAAGACCGAGTGAATACCAGTAATTCGACCCAAGTTCAATTTTATGGTGCATGGGCAATCTTTGCCCATGCACCATAATCGCTTGCGTGGGTGTTTTTTGTAGTTTATCTCATGTGTAACATGATAAGCGAGTTTCCATTAGAAAGTCCTTCATGAAGATATTCTTTCCCTTAGGCGTGCTTTTCTGTATTCAAATAACCTGAACTAAATTGTTAAAAATAAGTCAATAACAGAAATGAGAAACAGAAAACTTATGTTTTTTATGCAGCGATGACTGCTTACGCAGTTTTGCCACAAAGCTTTAACACGCGGATAAACATGCAGTTGTATTTCAAACATTATTGTTGTGACTAATCTCACTTGTCTGATATCAGAGCAAGTTCACGAAATTCATCCTGGCAAGGCGGGAAGTTTGCGTCTGTCGTTGGCAGTCTTGAGCACCATACAGATGAAATTACGATTTTACTCAATTTCGCCCCCAATTTTGAAGGAAAGTACCCCAGGAGGAGGATCCCCACCACTCTTCCCCTACCACCAAGAGTCCCATTGGTAAGTAGAAACTGAAAAGCTCGCTATGGATACCTGCTCCAGCACCGTGTGTTCTCTCTAACAGAGTCGTCAGTGTAGACATGCGACCACTCATTTTGAGGATAGCGAACCCCAATAGTAAATAATTAGCAAGTTTCATGAAAACGCAAATAAACTATTTCAATTTATGATTGGGATTATTCAAAAAATGTATTAAAGGGAACATAGTTTTATCTAAAATAGTTCTTTAATATACAATATTGATTGTAATAAGACCCCGCTTAACGCTGTTTCAGTATTACGCGGTATTAGTTAAAGCCGGGATTCCTCGAAATCACATTAAAATTTCAAAGACTCAACACAACATGGAAGGGAATTTCAAATTCATTTTACTAATTTGGGAGTCAAAAAACTTAAATCACTATAAAAATTTTCGAGAACTGGTTTATCAAAAATTCTGCCCATTTCAAACGCTACAGAGGATTTAAGAAACTAGAACCGAAACCTTAATTTTTGACTTTTGATTGATAATGGTGCAAACCATACAATGCATTTGTCGGAGCATTCCAGTAAAAACTGGTTCTATTGCCTCCAAACAGAGCTTCAGTAATTTAACCACTGGATCAGAGCATAATATCAAATTTTAAAGCTTAAAATATGCGGCAGACACTTCGACACCTTATTAAAAAATCGATATAGAAGATAAATAATCCATTACAGATTTTTGAAAAACTAAAATATCATGGTTACAGTGGGCAATATTACTTTGTCCTGGAACGAGGTGACCAAAGAACGTATGAAAGGAATTTAGAAGGAGCTGAGCAAGAGTTTTGAAGCAATTCCTTGCTGGTATCAACGAAATTGTTAAATTAGCTAATGAAACAGTTTGGATAATATCAGTGTAGGATATAGGATACTGCAGAATTGTTGCAAGTTACAATTGATGAAACTCTTTCCAGCGACAATTTAAAGGGTTAGCAGAGCAAGTGCACAAAGAGGACAAAATTTGCATTCTGAAAATGAGGAGAAAAAGGAACTTCCAACGGATTTTACGACGAAAAAAGCTCAGCCATTGTGACACAAATTGTGGATCAATTTATACAAAATTATTTATATTCCTATAAAAGTTCAAAAGTAAAATGAGTTGTCATTGATGCCATAACTAATTGCTAAATGGAACAGGAAAAAGCAAACGATAACAGATGTGATCGGCAAAGCCTCGAGGGCTATCTGCTGAAGGGGAGGATGCCACCGTTGAAGAACTTTCTACGGGAAACTGGCTCATATACACGTTAAACAAGGGGAAAACACCCATGCATCCAGGGCGTTCGCGGGATTCGAACCTCGGACCGAACTACCAGTGTTCAGCTGGGCCGCTGTTGGGCCAACGACACTAGATGACTTCCTCACAAAAAACGAAAAAATATCAAGTGATTCGACCTTTTCATTTTCATGAATAAAAATCGATATTAGAAATAACTAATTCTGTAATTAATGTAATAAGAAAGCATTTAACAATAAATATTACAAAATAAAACAAAAACAAACAAATAAGGGCTAAATTTTTTTATTGTGTCTTCTCATTTAACTTGTTAATGTGTTAAGATGACTTCGCTTAATGTTGTTTCGCTTAGCGCTGGAACTTACTGAAACGTATTTCACTTCTTCATTGTTAGAATACAGGAACTAACATATGCCCATACTCGTAAAGATGGTACACTTCCTCACTGAAACAAAATCTTTTTCCTACAGAAACAGGCTCAATAAGAATTTTCTTAAGTACACAAGTCCATAAAGTTAATTAAACAATAAAAAGAACAAGCAGGGATTTAGACTACTAGTTAAAGGATTAAGAGAATATTGCTTTTTACACAAGGCTTAGGCGATAGGTATTGTAGAGTGTTTCCTTATTGTAACGGGGCGGAGGGAGAGAAGAGACAGAATCACACCCACTCGTAGGCTGGTCTCGTTATATAAATTAGTAAAGTAATAAATGCGAGAAGGAGAGCGAAAATTTATACATAATAAAATATCATACATCATAAAATAATTTGCATAAATGAGCATTTAGCAATGAATTTCTATAGTCATTTTACCACTTTTCTATCGACAAATTGCAAAGTTAAAAAATAATGAATTAAATGGAAGCGGAGTAAGTTCATAAAGGAATAAACTTTTTCAATGATACGTATCAAAATTTTCAATAAATTTCCTTTCAGATATATAGCATTTTCATTAAATAATGTATAGCTTCTGCATCTGGACTAAGAACCTTTCTTAATTGCTTAAGTCGAAAATATGAGTCGGATACCTTGAAAAATAAGTTTTGTGGTATAAAATGGTAGATGGCTTGGGTTTTCATTTTACAACTTAAAGTTATTGAGGTGATAACATATGTTGAGAGAGAATTTGAAGAAGCGACAGCTAGTCCATTGTTCAGCATGTTTGATGACATGATTATGGCTCAGTGGCATTGGTGTTATTCAGTTTAATGCCGTTATTCTAAGCGATTCAACAGAATAAGGAAGCACCGGCAATTTGAAAGAATGGGCTTTGGATTCAAATCATCAGGCCGTTTATCAATATGCGAGGAAAGTGAGTAAAAATGCAATAATTTTATTATTCATGAAATTGAAAGATGCATTGTATTTTTAGTTCCGTTTTTATTTTACGTTGGGAAATCAACATCCAACAATACTGCAATATCAAACAACGGATCTGTTTACTTTACGTTTATGTCCCACCCTCGAATTGCTCTCTTCTGTATTTCTCTTCTGTAGCTTATTTTCCATTCATATTAATTCTTGATCTTAGAATTTATTTTAAAAATGAAAAGCTTTCCATCCATTATTTTCGTAGCAATATTTAGTTCTCTATAGTTTCATTTCTGTAGCAATATACGATTTAATATTAAATTCAAATAGATAGGAATTACGCAATGGGATGGGGAATCATTTTGCTTCAGAACGTAAATAAATATTAATGTTTTACTCGAATGTTCAGCAGGTAAAGCTTAAAATTAATGTTCGATCCCCTTATGATAATTTTTTTGTATGTGCATTTACGTGAACATACAAAGTTTTTCAAAATTCAGTATAGATTTTAAACTCAGTACTGAACTTTTCTCGCGTATCCTTGCTGAAAGTTAAACCTTAATCACCCCAGGCGTTCACTGTTTATATCGTACTATAGTTCGAAAAGTAATCTTCAAAATGAAGGTTTATTCTTCCTACCGCATTTTGCAGGTTTTTTTAAAGACGTTCAATTTTTGGATCAGAAAGGCTATTAGTCTCCGAACGGCACTTTGTGATAATTCACTACAAACGGCGAATCACTTTCTAAATTCTATCCGCCAAATACCACCACCCTGTGTGATGTTTAGAGAAATTAAATAATGAAAAATCTGCAAGAATGCATCCATGTTTCTCACACTGCGAAAAAACGACGGTACCTAGAGCTATCAAATTTTGAATAACTTAGTCCTCTACCCGAATATGGACACCTAGAAGTAGTAACCTTGAATTTCGAATTTGTTTTATTATCTATTTCATATTTTATAAAAATTTAACGAACTTCTGATTAACAAATTCAACGATTTGAAAACGAGCAATGGCGACGCTATAAGGGAAACATTTTTATCTCCAGCGCACGAGTTTGTATCGGGAATTCTAAAGATATGCTGCTTTTTAATATTTTGTGGTATTGCTTTTGAATTGAATTTTCGGTGTGAAGTGTGAAGCACGTGATATTTAATAAATAAAAGTTACACACAAAAAGTTTAAAAAACGCCCCTTTGCATTTAAAAAATCTGAAAGCTGTCAGATTTTATATTATGCCCAATTTTTAAAAAAATATCTTGGAGTTTGTAATAATCATGGTAAAAAAATGTCATCTTTTATTGCTTGCAATTCTCAGGATTTTTAGAGAATATGCGACCGAATTTCTAAACTACAGAAATTTAAAAAAGAAGTGAACGTAGTTTAATCACGTTACTGATCGAAAATA